ATGAGCGCTGGCGGTCCCGCCATGTCCCCCAGCACGGGCGCGCAGCGGGGGCCGGCAGTGGGGGACCGGCACCTCGCACCAGCCGAGCTGAAGACGCCCAGCGCGGATCACCGGGTGCCTCCGAACCCGGGGCTGCTGGCTGGAAACGATCCGTGAGACTGAAAATTAAAAATTAACCCTTTTCAAGGCAACACCAGGGGCTTTCAGGAATTCCCACCCCTCCCCTGAGAGCCAGACCCTGCCAAGAGACACCCTGGCACACCATGCTTGGACCTTTGCTTCACGGTCTGTTGATACTGGCAAAGACTCCTTCCAGGAGCCACCGGCAGCAGCTGCACATCCCTGTCCGCTCCCAGTGCAGAGGCCGAGGGGACAGCACCTTGTGGAGCCCTGTGTTCCTCTCTGTGTCAGATCTGGCACAGCCCAAGGGCACAGCCCAAGTGCTGGGTCGATGCTGTCCACATGGCATCTCCTGCACTGGGCCAGGCTGGGGGGGCTGCAGGGCAGGCTCCCCACCAGGCTGACTGGTCCCAGTGCAACCAGTGTGGCAGTATCTCATGGCAGCTGGGCATGCCTGCGTGAGACACCCCCTCCAAAGCCTCCTGAGTGAACAGGGAACCCCAGCAGAAGTGCAGTATCACAGCAGGGGGAGAGGGGACACCGTAGTATGAATGCTGCCCTCATCCCCTCTCTTCTCCCACCAGTGAAGGAGGAGTGGACACCCAGCTGGAAGTTGCACCCTGCTGCTCTCAGGTTTTCTGTTCTGCTCTCTGAAGAGCCTGACCTGGTACTCTGCCTTTGCACTTACTTACACCAAGGTTACTTTCGCTGATGAGGGAGAAGCCTTGCGAAACAAGCCAGGGCTGTGGCGAAGCCCAGATAGTCGCTTTTCCATGTGCAGCTTTGTAGGGCTATAAATACACAGCTCCTGCCTAGGCCACCAGCTGTGGGGGCTGAGCAGCTCCTTGTGTGTGCTGGGGACCTCTGCCTGCCATGGGCCCCTGCCCTGTGCCAGCCCCACGGCAGGCAGGGAGGGGGTTGTGCCTGGCTCCAGGGGATCACCCTTCCTTGACTGCACCCTCCTCACCCTGCAGTGTTCCCCAGGCTGGGAATGCCACTGTGGGATTCCTGAACCTTGGTCACCCTTGCCCCATGCTATGAGTGGGGAAGGGGCTGTAGGCTGCACCCAGACATCCTGTTTCCCCATGGGAGCGGGACAAGATGCGTGCATGGAGAGGCGGGCCTATCTTGTGGGACCCTGGACCATGCTCATCTGGGGAACCTCTGACCTGAAGGCACCGGAGAAGGCATGTTTTCAGGTGGTTGGCAAACGCCCAGGACAATGTGTTCTGCCCTAATCTCAAGCTGCCAGGGACAGGGAGCGGCCTCAGAGACTGGGACCCCTCTTGGGGGAGCTGCTGCTAACCCAGACACCCCGAATCAGTAGGACCTTCATGTCCATTGGGATGCAGCTGCGCTGCGGGGCTTGGGCTGGCTGTACCACAGCTCAGGCAACAGAAGGCAGCAGGGTGACAATTCATAGGTCCAGGGAGGTCTGGACTGGGACACGCCTGCCATCCCTGTGCCTGAGGGCAAGGGACAGTGTGCCTGCAGGGCTGGCAGGCAGAGCCTGCTGTGTGTCCTGTGGTGTCCAGAGAGCACACGTGCAGCCCGGCAAAGGGCAGAGCTGGGGTTTGGGGAGCAGGTAGCGAGAGGGGGCCATTTCAGGCAAGGCACCTGTGCCCCACAGGGGCTGTGCAGCAGCAGACAGGCAGCCAGCCCCGCTCTGCCCTGAGCCCCGTGGGGAGTGGGGGAAGTGCCCAGCAGGAGTGCTGCAGGGCCAAGAAGGGGAACTGGGGACATCCCAGACCTGCTCGAGGGCTTATGGCACCTACAGATGCTTCAGCTCAGGGTCAAGCCAACAACTCCTCTGCCCCTTCACTTGGCCCCTTTCTGCCCATGCCTGCTGCAGCCTAGAGAGCTCAGCACTGGCCCCAGGAAAGCTGTTTGTTCAATAAATACAGACAGTGAAAAGAGGTGTTGGAAAAAGAAGGGAAAAAAAACAGAAAAAAAACCAAACACCAAACCCTCTTTGAGTTTGCGCAAGTGGCCTTGAGTCCCAGACAGTATTGATCCACGAGTCTTCCACCCTGCCTGTGCAGCAG